GGATCAGAGGTATTGGGGGTTGGATTGGGAGGGATCAGGGGGGTTATGGGGGGGAGTGGGAGGGATCCCCACATCCATGCTATTTGGCATGGATGGGGAAATGGATCCTTTTTACAATGAGTGTATAGCCAAGCATAGGCAGACTTTATGTTTAGATCAATGACACTGCCAGCTGATACAGAGAGTGTTATCCTGGGAGGGGCCCCATAAAATCCTTGCTATGGGGCCCCATAATTCATAGATAGGATCCCAGCCCCGTTGTACCCAGAGTGCCATGTAGGACGCTGCCTTCACGTGCTTTGGTAAATGCAATGTTCAGAACTAGGTGCTACAGGGAGCTTCAGAGTTCACAGGGCATCCATTGAACTATTCAGAACACGTATTTACCGTCTACACCCGGCCGGGGTACACTCCAGCTGCGGTGACACTACAAATCCCAGCATGCCTCTGGAAGTCATGCCCGTGGCTGTCAGAGTCTTGCAATGCATTATGGGACTTGTGGTTCTACAACAGCTGAAGCGCTGAGGTTGTTTACCTCTGGTCTATACTAAACATAAACAAAGCATTAGCCCAGGGGGTCCGGCATGCTGGTCCTTGTAGTCCCCCAGGGTGTTCGGAGTTAAAGTTATACCCTTTATTGGCTAACTTAAGATATAAAAGCGACAGATCCCCCCGGGGGAGACACAGATATTATTATACAGGATGTAAATAGCGCCAACAGTTTGTGCAGCGCTTTACAATATAAGGAAGACATTACAATCACAATACAAGACAAGATGGTAAGGAGGGCTTACAATCTAAAAGATATCACTGCGTTGGTTGTCCTGGGGGGCAGTAGAGGGGTTAATGAGAAGTACCCCTAATCCGTCATCCCTACACAGACAAGACACAACCCCTCCCCACCCCCATCACCACCTCCTGGCTGCCCCTCACCCACACCTCACCTTCCCCTTTTACCATGCAGGTGTCATGTGCAGCCTCCATTTTTCCGGCTTCTCCGCAGGAAGTGCACACTTCCTCCTCCCCCTCCCCTCACAACCAGCTTTATTGACACATGGCAGGAACATTGTGCTGAGTGTCAGAATGGAGCGTGTTATCAAATGATGCAAATTCATCAGACCCCCTCCCCCCCTCCTAGTCCCAGGCATTGAATTAAAAATCAACCCGTTACATGAAAGAAGAAAGCTTCCCAAAATCTTTGTTTAATATTGTAATTGTGATCCAATGTGTCAGCCCAGCGCCCTTGTCATATCCGCTCTCGGCAGCCTGCTTTTTACTCCTCTCACCCAGCAGGTGTACAGATCTGCCCGCATTGTTGTCATTGCACAGTACCACTTCTCTTGTTCTGTATTCCAGGTGTCATTCTCAGTATCTGTTCTTATTCTGTATGTATGGACTCTGCACAGTACCACTTCTCTTGTCCTGTATGCCGGGTGTCATTCTCAGTATCTGTTCTTATTCTGTATGTATGGACTCTGCACAGTACCACTTCTCTTGTCCTGTATGCCGGGTGTCATTCTCAGTATCTGTTCTTATTCTGTATGTATGGACTCTGCACAGTACCACTTCTCTTGTCCTGTATGCCGGGTGTCATTCTCAGTATCTGTTCTTATTCTGTATGTATGGACTCTGCACAGTACCACTTCTCTTGTCCTGTATGCCGGGTGTCATTCTCAGTATCTGTTCTTATTCTGTATGTATGGACTCTGCACAGTACCACTTCTCTTGTCCTGTATGCCGGGTGTCATTCTCAGTATCTGTTCTTATTCTGTATGTATGGACTCTGCACAGTACCACTTCTCTTGTCCTGTATGCCGGGTGTCATTCTCAGTATCTGTTCTTATTCTGTATGTATGGACTCTGCACAGTACCACTTCTCTTGTCCTGTATGCCGGGTGTCATTCTCAGTATCTGTTCTTATTCTGTATGTATGGACTCTGCACAGTACCACTTCTCTTGTCCTGTATGCCGGGTGTCATTCTCAGTATCTGTTCTTATTCTGTATGTATGGACTCTGCACAGTACCACTTCTCTTGTCCTGTATGCCGGGTGTCATTCTCAGTATCTGTTCTTATTCTGTATGTATGGACTCTGCACAGTACCACTTCTCTTGTCCTGTATGCCGGGTGTCATTCTCAGTATCTGTTCTTATTCTGTATGTATGGACTCTGCACAGTACCACTTCTCTTGTCCTGTATGCCGGGTGTCAT